ATGTTAAGGGCGGATGAAGAGAAGGAGGTTTGTTTAACAAAAACAAACAGTGAAATATTTTTCTTAACTGGTCAATTGCAGTACAGAGATCAAGGAAGCATCTAAACACAATTCTATAGAAGGAACTCAAGAAGTGCCACAATTAGTCACAGAAAAGCAACATGTCATGAACGAAGGCTAGGGCAACCACAAAGTCAGATCGAAGGAAGAAGAGTGGGAGGTAACTTTTTTTTTGCTGCTTTTTCAATCTGTTTGGGTGGAATAATCAGTTATTCCACCTGCTGGCTCATAAAGGAGAAAGAGAGTATTGAAGAGATATAAAATGAATTATTTTACCGAAACAGGACATGCAGAAGATGAGAGGATCAGAAATGTTATGAAGATTCCCATGAAAAATAAAAATGAATGTAGAGGAGGAGAAAGCTTGTACCTGTTGACCCCTTTCCTAACCCATCCATATGAATGATGTATTTCTACACAGGAGTGTACATGTAGAAACAGGGAAATGATCTCACCCATGATTCCTAGGATGTCTTCATACCTTTAGACATTCTGATGAAAATTAAAGTGTGATTTTGCTTGGTTTAGACAGCAGCCACAATACCAAAATTTTGGACCAAAAAAAAATCCCCTCTATGAAAATTTTACTTTTTTGTATAACCCTTTTCTTATCATAATTCTTGAACATGCATGAAGAGTCATTGTTTACTTAGGAATTTTCAGCCTTGTGTATTTTTACTTGATGCAATATTGTTTTTAATGTTTGAGGTGTTGTTTAACATCTATATGCGACCACTTGCTCAGCTGGTTCGAGGTTTTGGGCTTGAGTGTTATCAGTACGCCGATGACACTCAGCTGGTGCTGAAGATGGAAGGCCGACCGGACTCTGTACCCGATTATTTCCATCAGCGCCTCGAGGCCGTTACTGGATGGCTGTGTGCCAGCAGGTTGAGGGTGAATCCAGCAAAGACGGAGATCCTATGGCTGGGTCAACCGGGCAGTGGGGATATCCAGCTGCCTACCTAGATGGCGAGGCGCTACGCCCGTCATCATTGATAAAGAGTCTGGGAGTCCTTTTGGACCCTCTGCTGACGATGGAGGCCCAGGTCTCTGCCATTAGCAGAACCGCTTTTTTTCATCTGCAGCAGGCTAGACGGCTAACCCCCTACTTGTCCAGAGACAACCTAGCTATGGTGATCCAGGGAAGGAAGGAGAGTTAGTTACTTTGCTCCACCACTGTCAGATAATAACAAGGGAAAGTGGGCGGGGAAAGACTCCAGTTCCTGCAAAATCCTGCAGAATTCTGAAAAAAGAAGTCCCAACATTTCTTTGGCTGCCAGCACACCTAGCCATCACAGCTGGGAAAGAAGGGTAATATCCAAGCGGATCAAGCAACACCACCAACTGGTGCCTCACTCAGCAGCTGATGACAAGCTAATCTGCTTGGATTTAACAACTATGAGGACTACATTGACTGAGTAAAGTACCAATAAGGCAATATTGCTAGATTTACGTGGACTTTCTAGTCCCAACACAGCTATAAGGTTTAAGAGTACAAAGGGACATGGAAGTGTCTGGGACATCTGTTATTTACAGGTATTGTGTGAGTACAACAGCAGAAACCAAAATCCTCCCATCCTTTCCCCTCTTATCTTTCCTCAACAGATTTTTGACAGTGGTGGAGCATAGCCCCTGGCAGAAAACTCAACACGCAGGGACATGTAGAGAGCCCTCTTTCCCAAAGGAAGAAGCAGGTGTTTGGCAACAAAAGTTTCAGTTTTTGGATATTTTTGCCTTTCAGATTGGCAAATAAAAAAGGCTCAGACTGTATAACAAAGAGAGATAGTAAAATCAAAATGGAACTGCAAAATATATGGTATCTATAGTCATAAATTAATGTTTCACAAAGAAAGCATTAGGCCATCAAATGAGCTGCTGATGTCTCAGGAAAAATTGTCATTGCCTCACAGAAATGCAGCTAAAGATCAGAAGAAGATGAGTATTTGGGAGATAAGCAGGAAATAGTTTTGCAATTGCTATCTCAAAGAAGCGGAAGACATTTTTATACAAATGTTTTTGTAAAAGTTATGCAGGAACAAAATCTGTCAACACAAGGAAAGGCTGAAAAGAGTTCCCCAGAAGGAAACTACATGTTATTCAGTCAGCAAAATAAAACAGTTAAGAAAAACAGTTTATACAGAGGGACAAACTGTGGCAAGGAGAGGACACCTACCGTACCAGGCCTAGGGTATGGTATTCGTCCATCGTATTGGACCCAGCGATGGTCGGCACTCTCCTTATGGGCATAATGTCCATTGAAAACTGCTCGAATGTCAACCATGCTGTACACACAAATTGCCGAGCCCTTGAATACAGAGCTAGGAGGACAGAAACATATCATTAAGCCAGTTCATTGCAGACCTGATCATTCCAATCCAGAAGTGAATTAAAATGTTTTTAATTGAATGTAGAAATGCTCAAGTAATACAAACTTTGTGAATTCTGATTAAGTTTGATCTTACAGATTTCCCCACAGATTTACAGTATTTAGAAGAAAGCAACCATAAGAAGGATGAAATAGATTTATGGATGAATCTACTTCAAGGCTGATCTGTCCATCTCTAACATGAATCCCTTAACAACAACAACTACTACTACTACTTTATTTTTATACCCCGCCACCATCTCCCCGAAGAGACTCAAGGCAGTTTACATGGGGACCAAGCCCAACATACAGCAAAATTTACCATCTAAAACACAGTTAAAAACATAATAACACAGTTAAAAACATAATAGCATATAACATAAACAATCTAATTAAAATAATTGTAAATGGCAAAATATAACAACAAAGTGTATCAAACTAACCTGAACAACCAGTAACCAGGAATATGGTTATATATCAGACTAGAGAAGGCAGAGCATAGGCTTATGCAAAAAGCAAACTATAAAGCCAGGCTGAATACAACTTTCTCAGTATGCTACCTTCCCTATGCTACCCAAGAAATGAATGAATAGATGATAGATAGATAGATAGATAGATAGATAGATAGATAGATAGATAGATAGATAGATAGATGGATTTCCACTTTAAAATATACCTTTTCCGACTTACAAACAAATTCAGGTTAAGAGCAAATCTGCAGAACCTATTTAGTCCATAACATGGGGGCTGCCTATATTGAGGTTCTAGGAATTATGATAAAAATTTCCTCTACATAGTTGAAAACCATTTTCTGTACTGGTTGGGGATGGTGAGGTTCTGAGATTCAAAGTATTTGCATGGGAGCAGAGCTGATTAGGATAGCTTGTCATTTCAAGAACCGGTTATGTCCTTGCTGACAATGTAAACTATTCAACAGTTCTCTGTTAGTGTAGTGCACCATTGAATCTAATGTGCCCCTCAATATTCAAACCCTGAAGCCAAAAAAAAAAGTATTTGTTGACGTACCATATCTATAAGCACTGGAAGAAAACTATATGTTTAAAAACCCTTATAATACAGATAGAATGAACAAGGATTTTTATTTAACATTTTTATTTAACACTAGCTGTACCCGCCATGCGTTGCTGTGGCCAACCTTCCCTCCCTCTTTCTCTCCTTCCTTCCCTCTTTCCTATTTTTCTTTCCTATCTCTCATCTTTCTTCCATCTCTACCTGTTTCTTTCCTCCCTTTCTTTGCTCTTTGGTTACATCCTTCCTTCCTTCCTCTGCTGCTGATTCCTTCCTTCTGCTTCCTTCCCTATCTTTTGTTCCTTCTCTCCTTCCTTCCCTCTCTTTTTCCTTTCACTTTTTTATTTCCTTCTCTCCTTCCTTGCTTCTCTATCTTTCTTTCTTTCCTTCTTTCCCTCCCTGCTTCTCTCCTTCCTTCCTTCCCTTTTTCCCTCCTTCTCTCATTACTTCTTGACTGTCCCTTCCATTTAATATTGTATTTATATCTTAGAAAGAAGGAAAGGAAGAAGGAAGGAAGGAGGGAAAGGAGGAAAAGGAAGGGAGGGAGGGAAAGAAGGGAAAGAAGGAGGGACAGGGAGGGAGGGAGGAAAGAGAAGGAAGGAAGGAGGAAGGAAGGAGGGAAAGAAAGGAGGGGGATGAAGAAAGGAGGGAGGAAAGGAAATGAAGGGGAAGGAAATGAAGAAAGGGAAAGAAGGAGGAAAGGGAGGGAGGGAGGAAAAGAAGGAAAGGAAGAAGGAAGGAGGGACAGGAAGGAAGGGAAGGAGGAAGAAGGAAAGGAAGGAGAAGGAAGGAAGAAAAGGAAAGAAAGGGAGGAAAGAAGTGTGGGGAGGGAGAGAAGGAAGGTCCTTCATTCAAGCACCGTGGACCTTCCTCCTCCCCCCCTTCCCCCCCTCCCCTTCTTCCTTGCGTGGATGCTCTGTTGCTGCTGCCATTGCTGCTGCTTTCCCAACAGGAAAATGAGAAGAAGTAGACTGCTCTCCTGACATAGAAGGGAAAGAGAAGGGGCTGCATGCGGCGCACCTCCACTCCACTACACTCGCTTGGGTGTGTATGTGTGGCCGTGCATGTGTGCCTGGCTTTAATGGCCGGCTATTTCCCCGTGAGGAGGAGGAGGGGGCGTGGCCATGGGTCTCTGTAGACATGCAGTTTCCCCTTTGTGGACATGCAGTTTAGAAGTCCTTTCTGCTTTTTGTTTTTGTTGTTTTGTTTTTTTTAGTGGAGAACATACATTGGGTTGTTAGGGACATAGTGTCCAAATTTGCTGTCAATTGCTCAGTGGTTTCTGAGTTCTGTGAATAGCACAAATGAACATTACATTTTTATTTATATAGATAACGCATGAAGAAGCCATTATAAGGAGGAGTAGAGCAATATGTATAGTATAATTGTTAGCCTTCCTACTATCTTCAGCTACTCTTTCCTAATGTTTAGGTGGAATCTTCTCTCCTATAATTTGAACCCACTGCTCCAAGTCCTAGTTTTTATGTCCTATCATGGCCATATGGTACAGTGTCTGGATTTTACAGTTTAGGGGGGAGAATTTAGAATTCCTCTAGTCTAGTGCTCCCCCTACCATACCATGACAGTTAAAATAGGATCATAGTGTTACAACTATGTTATGTGAAAAGGCTGGTTGAAGCCTGTGAAGCCTCTGAGGTTGAGGAAGAGGACAGGGATTTTCTGTTTGAACCTGGTGTTTCTGTGGGGAAAAGCAAAAGTGTTTTTTGAGACAATGGGGATGTTTTGGTAGATCTGTTGTTGGGAAAACAGGCAGTGATTCTTATGACAATTCACCATGGATTTACTCTGAAAGGAATGTGGAGGAGACAGGAGGGCTACAGATAACCCAGTTTTTACAGCTCAGAGTTAGGAATAGTGAGAAACAAAGACAAACTAGTTGTTCCCAGAGGCTGAAAAATAAATGAAGGGAACTTGTGAGAAAGAATGATGTCATGGGCAAAAGGGAGTATTCTTAAGGATTGGAGTCAATGCTCAGTGGTGATATTAACATTGGATTTCCATGTTTCAATCTGCCTCTCTTGGGAGCTCTGAGTTCGGAGTTCTGTTCATGGGTCTGTATCTTGTTTTCCTGTTTCAGTTCAGTTCCATGCCTCCTGTTTGGATTACAACATGTTTCATGTTTCAAGATTTTAGTATTATAGTCAAGTTCAAGTATCAAGCCTTTGGATTTTGTTCATTTTTTCAAGCTATTGCATATAATTTTAGTTTAAGTGCAACAACCCTTGGATTACAGTTTCTTGCTTTTGCTTTTGGTGATCTTTGGAATTCATATTCAAAGTTGGTCATTGTTTTTTGTTAAGCTCCTGGAAATCTAGCTCATGGATGTAACTTTGAAATTGCTTTTGCATACTGGGTTTTGATGGTACTTTTGTGAATGCTTATTTTGAACACTATTTTGAAACTGTTTTTATATTACTCTTTTCTTAATAAACTTATTATTGTTGTATTTGCTTTCATGGCTGGAATCACTGGATTGTTGTAGGTTTTTTCGGGCTGTATGGCCATGGTCTAAAGGCATTCTCTCCTGACGTTTCGCCTGCATCTATGGCAAGCATCCTCAGAGGTAGTGAGGTCTGTTATCTTATGAGGTCTTATTATTGTTGTTGATCTGTATGGTGTTTGGGTGAAAGGGGGATCAAGCAGGAGGCTGGGCTACAAGAGGGCCCATAGATAAACACTCTCCTCCCATCCCATTCTCATAGTCCCTCCATTCTAGCTGCTCTACTTTGCCAAACAATAGGACGGGTCCTAAAAATAAGGAACGTGATGAAACAGGAATAAAATCCATCAGTGGTATTATACCTCCCACTCCTACATGGTCATCATCCCTAAGAGAAGAAAACTGCAACAGACCTGTGCTTCTCACCAAGTTTCATCTCAAAGAGGTCATCCATCCAATCATGTTGGTTACTGGTGATTGAAAGTAACCGTCTACCAAGATATCTAATAATCTCATTCATCTGAAAGAGTTTTGTATGAACTTTGGTGAACTGTACTGAAGTTCTGGCATACTGGTTTGTGTAATGCCTAGCTGAGATCACTTCTTTTTAAAAAAATAGATGAGAAGGGATCCACTGTGTAAACTGGTTTGAAATGCTAAACCGTACGCTGTGCTTGGAAGTTGGCCATATGCTCTATTTGTAACTTGCCTTTCCCCTGTGGAGTTCAGAATTGACTTTATGCTTCAAAACATGCCTGTGAGGTACGTTAAGTTAGAAATACATGCTTTGTCCACGGCCGCACAGTGAGCTTCCTATCTGAGGATTGGATGTGAACCTTGATCTCTCACATCTAAACTGAATGCTACAGTCACTACACCAATTGGTTCTCACTAGGTGGCACTGAGAAAGGCATAGCTTCTTTGCCTACTCTGTCCTCTGTAAAAAGGTAAAATAATATTTATAGTAATACAATCTGGGGCCTAGTGTTGTAGCACAGTCCAGACAGGGTTATTCAAGATGCTTGGTTTTTGGCTTTCAGATAGACTGACATGCAAAGCCTTAAATTTACCTTGTAGTGGTGAAGACGCCATACACCATAGGATTTCTTTCATCTCGTGTGGGAAGTAGAAAAATATCCTCTGCAATTGAGAATAGGTTGTTTTTAAAGTTAAGATAATACATCTTTAGTCATATTTTTCTCTGCCTGTAATATTTTGCTACTCATGAAAAGAAACCCACAGCTCCTTTTCCTTACTCTTGCATGATGTTGTTTGTGCATAGACATTAATTTTTCCCCATCCATAATTACGATAATATCTTCTTTCCACCATACATATCACTTTAAATTATGTAGGTCTGTGTGTTTGTTTCATATCATCTGTATCATGTAGTATGCTCAATCCAACCAATTTGTTCTTGTTTTACAATGTGTGTCTTCAGGTCAACTCTTTTTTATCATAGTGTTTGATTGACAAAATTGATTGAGAGAAGATTCCTTTAACAGTAAGAAAATGAGACTTGTTCAAGGTCATCCAGTGGGTTTCCATGGTTGAAGAGTGATTTGAACCCTGGTCTATCAAAATCCTAACCCAAACATAGAGCCATAAAACCATGTTGTCTCTCATTATTAAAGCACCATCAAAAAATCAACAAAATGTGGGCTATATCAATGTTTGGCAGGAAAACAATACGCCAAATTGTACCTAACATCACAAACAAACAAACAAATTATTTATTTGCTCTCAAGCTCCCTCTAGAGGGCATTCTCACCATGTTTCAGGGACATTCCTGAACCCTGGGAGGCACTTTGGGGGAAATGTTGAGAAAAAAAATGACCCCTGAGTATCCTGGAGGCTTCAAATATGGCCCTGGAGGCTGCACTTTTAGGATATGCAGACAATACCCAACTCCTTCTGCGTCTGGAGCGTAGAGCGACGTCAATTCCAGACAATTTCACCCTATGTCTGGAAGCTCTGTCAAACTGGCTACGTGCTAGCAGACTGAAGGTGAACACAGCGAAGACTGAGATTCTCTGGCATGGCCATCCGGCAGGTGTGACTCCTCCATTACCCACCTTCGATGGTGCCGCCCTATCTCCATCGATCACTGTTAAGAGCTTAGGTGTCATCCTGGATTCACAGCTGACAATGGAAGCTCAGGTCGCTGCTGCCAGCAAACAGGCCTTTTTCCATCTACGACAAGCGAGGCAACTGGCACCCTACCTATCTGATGAGGCTCTGGCAACTGTCATCCATGCCACGGTCACGTCTAGGCTGGACTATTGCAACGCCCTGTATGTGGGCCTTCCGATGTCTACGACCCAAAAGCTTCGTATTGTTCAGAATGTGGCAGCCAGGTTACTCACAAGAACGCCCATGAAATGCCATATAACACCAGTGCTGCAACATTTACATTGACTTACTCCATATACCGGGTCCTAAAGAAGTGCACTTGGAAAGGACCAGACGCAGGGCTTTTTCTATTTCTGCCCCTGCCTTGTGGAATTCCTTGCTGCCTTACATGAGAGCCATGCGTGACTTAGGGCCTTTTACTCTCGCACTTAAGACCTGGCTTTTTACTAGAGCATTCGATCTCTGTTGATTTTTAATTTTTGTATGTATGTATTTTATCTTTTGTAATTTAGCTGTAAATCGCCTGGAGAATTCTCGGATGGAGGGCGATTAATAAGTTATTAAATGAGGATGATGATGATGATGATGATGATATATAGCTCAATTCTTCAGGAAGTGCAGAGATACATCCTTTGCCAACTTCAGAAACAGAATAAATATAAATATAATCAACTGATTGCAGTCCTACTTTCAATATCTTTCTGATGAATAAGTCATACTTAAAAGTCCAAAAAGGACTATGCACTTATGTTTGGAAACAACAGTGCAAGCACAATTCATAATTTGTTAAGGATATCTAAAATATAGCATTTTGGCTACCATTACATGACTCAGAGTTATTTTAAACTCCAAGCTGTTTCATTTATCTTTGGACTGAAAAAGATATTAGATAATTTATATGTGACATAAAAAAATCTGTGCCAAACTATTTCCCCCCATTATTCAACACTTGCATGACTCATAATGATTTACAATGATACTAATGTCCATTTACCGAATTTCGTTAGGTAAGCCTATTTCTGATTTTTATAATTTCAGACACAGGTGGACACTTCCACATATAATAGAAGCCTTGAATTCCAATTCCTTAGGAATGTTTTAAGAAATTATAACCTGTTTTTGATTTCTCTGTGTGTGCCTGAACACACATCTATATAAATAAAAATGTAATGTTCGTTTGTGGGATTAACAGAACTCAAAAACCACTGGATGAATTGGCAAAAAAGTTGGACACAAGACGCCTAACAACCCAATGTATGACCTTCATTCAAAAATTGAGTTTGTTATTTGGGAGTTGTAGTTGCTGGGATTTATAGTTCACCTACAATCAAAGAGCATTCTGAACCCCACCAACAATGGAATTGAACCAAACTTGGCACAACAGAGTTCTCCCATGGCCAACAGAAAATTCTGGAAGGGTTTGGTGGGCAGTGTCCTTTGGTTTTAGAGTTATAGTTCACCTACATCCAGAGAGCACAGTGGACTCAAACATTGATGGATCTTGAACAAACTCTACACGAATAATGTATATGTATAATGTATAATAATGAATAATACCCATGATAGCCCGGAAAAACCTACAACAACCCAGTGATTCCAGCCATGAAAGCCTTCGACAATACATTCTACACAAATACTCAATATGCCCAAATGTGAACACTGGTGGAGTTTGGGGAAAATAGAATCTTGACATTTGGGAGTTGTAGTTGCTGGGATTTATAATTCACCTACAATCAAAGAGCATTCTGAACCCCACCACTGATAGAAGTGGGCCAAACCCCATGACCACCACAGTGGGCCACATCAAGGCGTGGCAGGGGACAGCTAGTATATAGTAAAAATGCTGTGCTGCTCAAAACTTACACATCATTTTCTTCTACATATTTATGATGGTTCGGTTGTGAAAGATCTCTTCCATTGTTTCTCTAGCTATTTTGGAAAGAAGAGTAAATAATACCCATATCTTCTCTTCTGTTATTATACTTCAAAAGATTTAAATAATTAAATTAAATAATTAAATTAAATAATTAAAGCATTACACAACTTACGCAGTTCATCAAAATGTGTATCTGCTCCTTCTGGGCCAGGAATTGAGCAAACTAGTCTTGCTTTCAGGAATGTTGTCCACTTGTTTATCAGGCTACGTTGACCTCCCATGTCATTCTGATTGAAAAGAAAGTAAATATTTAGTTTCTGCTGAATAGAAAAAAAGATCTTCATCTAAGCAACTATTTATTTATTTATTTATTTTGTATGGTATTTTTCTCCCAAAACAGAGCTCGATATTACTTTCAAACACCATCCATTTAAAATATTTGCATTAAAAATAAAAAAACAATTAAAATTGGTTTACAAATATTTTAAAATCATTTTAGAAATATGCAAGAGTTTAAAAAGACAAATAAAACATCCAAAACAAAATAAAATTCTTCTCTTTCCACTTATGCATTAAAAAAACAGCCTTCCAGTAAGTGGAAAGAAAGGGGGCAGTTCCTGAAACAGACACTCAGAAAGCTCTCTGACACGTTCTCACCATGTGAGCCTGTGATGGTGGCAGAACACAGAGAATACATTTAATATTTGGAGACTTAAAATAGCTGTGAGCATAAAATTGGTGCAACCAGTGAGTCATGTTGTCTGGGCATCAGATTGGGAAGTACTTACTTACTTAGGAGATCCCTCGTTTTCTGAGGAGGATTGTCTTCCATATTCTTGTGGGTCCGTATGTGGCTGTGGAGGCCTATTCTTGCTCTGCATCTTCTTCCGCAGTGAGGGCATTGGTTTCCAGGTGGAAGGCGGTCTCGGTCGGAGTTGGCTTGACACGCCTTCCTCTTGACACGCTTCTCCCTTTCGCCCTCCATTCGTGCCTCTTCAAATTCTGCAGTACTGCTGGTCACAGCTGACCTCCAGCTGGAGAGGTCAAGGGTCAGGGCTTCCCAGTTCTCAGTGTCTGTCAGAGTTTTTAAGGTTGGCTTTGAGCCCATCTTTAAATCTCTTTTCCTGTCCACCAACATTCCGTTTTCCGTTCTTGAGTTCGGAGTAGAGCAACTGCTTTGGGAGACAGTGGTCGGGCATCCGGACTACGTGGCCAGTCCAGCGGAGTTGATGGCGGAGGACCATCACTTCAATGCTGGTGGTCTTTGCTTCTTCCAGCACGCTGATGTTTGTCCGCCTGTCTTCCCAAGAGATTTGCAGGATTTTCCGGAGGCAGCGCTGATGGAATCATTCCAGGAATTAAACGTGACGTCTATAGACAGTCCACGTCTCACAGGCATATAGCAGGGTTGGGAGGACAATAGCTCTATAAACAAGCACCTTGGTATCCCTATGGATGTCCCGAAGTACACCTATAAAGATATGGTGTTACTGCCACCATTTCAGTATCCCCAACTGACTCTACACCTGTTGTCTTCTCCTGCTCATGCAAATCTACCACTGCTTTAGAGAATGTTGCTTGCTGATACAATTAAACAGCACTAGATTTTCCAATAAGACTTTAGATTTCCATTCTTAATGATGTGGGAGATGTCAAGCATAGATATGGAAAACCCAAAATATTTGGAAAAAATGTTAAATGCCAGGATTTTTCTCCTAGTGATAGAAAACCGATGAGACAAATCCTATGCAGGTGAGAACCTTCAGAACTTTAGTTTACTCTGAACGGGAAAAAATGCATGTACTATTCATGAAATAAAAATACAATTTTCTGCACAGAAAAAAACACAATCTCAGTGCAAAAAACATTTCTAATCTCTACAGGAAACAAAATTTATTTCAGAAAACATTTCTGCACAGAAAACTGTTTTCTGTTCAAGGAAAAGTTCTTTTTTGGGCTAGATGTGTATTTTTTGGTACCGAATCATTTTTGAACTGTGAAAATTCTGTTACTTACTCTGAGTGAAGAGAAAAATGGATAAAACATGTGTTCTTATGTTTATAATCAACTTTTACAAAACCTTTTCCCCTAGTCAAGAACTCTTTGAGCTTAAAGGTCAATGGCATAAAGAAGCAAAGTATAACTTATGCACCCGTATTTTACTATATTTTACAAAGAAAGAGACAAGTGAGTGTCATTCATGTTCTAATAACTTCAGCGTAATTATGTAAGCACCAAGAAATACACTAAAATATGAAAAAAAAATGTTATCAAATGACAGGCACACAGGAAAAAGGCATTTTGAAAACTGGGATATAATTGATAGCATATTCTCAGTCACATTTCTTATTAACAGCAGTAACTGTCACTGATGCATCAAATATGTCATGAACATGGGAATATATACCAAAATAACTGTGTAAAGTCTATGGTACCACAACACTGTTGTTTTTCTTAAAACAGAGCAATACAGGCAACTCGCTGGAAGTAGTTACTGACAGACTTTTGCCAATGTACCTTCAATGTCAATATTTGCTCCTTTCAAATAGCTTTGATTAATTTATATCTCCCTCCCCCCAAAAAGTTATTTAATACTCTTACAGAATCTGTCATGTCCTTGTTGTTTTCCACTGCAGTCAGACTCACATCTCTTTAAGATATTTGTCACAAGATTGTCAAAAGTACAAACTTGGAGACAAGGAAAATGTATCCATTGCTACTTTTTATTATTTCTGCAAAGTATGGTGACATCAGCCAAAATAGTATGCCAACAGTAAGAATTACGTATTGTCAAAGGCTTTCATGGCCGGAATCACTGGGTTGTTGTAGGTTTTTTCGGGCTATATGGCTATGGTCTAGAGGCATTCTCTCCTGACGTTTCACCTGCATCTATGGCAAGCATCCTCAGAGGTAGTGAGGTCTGTTGGAAGTAGGGGAAAGGGTTTATATATCTGTGGAATGACCGGGGTGAGACAAAGGACTCTTGTCTGCTGGAGCTAGGTGTGAATGTTTCAACTGACCACCTTAATTAGCATACGATGGCCTGGCAGTGCCTGCAGCAAACTTTTGTTGAGAGGTAATTAGATGTCCTTGCCTACTTCCTCTCTGTTGTTGTGCTGATGCAATTTTAGAGTCAGATTGTATGCTAATCAAAGTGGTCAGTTGAAACATTCACACCTAGCTCCAGCAGACAAGAGTCCTTTGTCTCACCCTGGTCATTCCACAGATATATAAACCCTTTTTCCTACTTCCAACAGACCTCACTACCTCTGAGGATGCTTGCCATAGATGCAGGTGAAACATCAGGAGAGAATGCCTCTAGACCATGGCCATATAGCCTGAAAAAACCTACAACAACCCAGTAAGAATTACATTCAAGAACATAATTGTTTTCTTTCTATTCTTTTTTTTTTGGGGGGGGGGTGTTACATTGCAAAGTCGCTGAAGTATCTTTAAAAATTGCACCTTTAATTTTTATTGCCTTTCTTTTCCTGGAAATCTCTTCAGTGTTTCTAATAGGGATGTATGCATCTATCAGTGTTGTCGTTTCCCATATCTGAGCTGATTAAATCTCAATTGTTTGCATACTGCATATGAAAAAAATGATACGCTCTAACCAAGACAGCAACATAAGAAAATTATCTTGTTATAAGTGTGCTGGGAGTTTTCTGGGATGTATGGCCATAGTCCCAGAAACATTATCTCCTGATGCTTCACCCAGATCTATGGTAGGATCCTCAGAGGTTGTGAGGTCTGTTGGAAACTAGGAAAATTGGGTTTATATATCGTCGTCATCATCATCATCATCATCATCATCATCATCATCATCATCATCATCATATTTAATTACTTATTAATCGCCCTCCATCCGAGAATGCTCTAGGCGATTTACAGCTAAATTGTAAAAGATAAAATACATACATACAGAAATTAAAAATTAACAGAGATCGAATGCTCTAGTAAAAAGCCAGGTCTTAAGTGCTAGAGTAAAAGGCCCTAAGTCACGCATGGCTCTCATATAGGGTGGCAAGGAATTCCATAAGGCAGGGGCAGAAATAGAAAAAGCCCTGCATCTGGTACTTTCCAAGTGCACTTCTCTAGGACCTAATATATAGAGTAAGTTGCATTGGGCTGGTCGTTGCTACCTCCAATGATGGGAGAAGGAGAGGTGGTCCCTAAGGTACGATGGACCCTGGCCGTAAAGAATATATATATATCTGTTGAACGTCCAGGGAGAGAGAAAGAACTGTTGTCTGCTTAAAGCAAGTGTGAATGTTGCAATTGGCCACCTTGGTTAGCATTGCATGGCCTCACAGCTTCAAAGCCTGGCTGCTTAGGAAGTGAGATTCCTAGCTGGTTGCCCCAAAGAATGAGGAAAGGAGGGTGGGTTGTCACTTGTAAGCAAAGAGAGATCACAAGAGTATGGGTTGGCCTTAAGTAACTTAGGCTCCAGCCCCCACAGGGGAAAATCTTGGCATATTTCACAAGGCTGCCTTAATTTTCGCTTTTTTTTCTAGAAAAAAAATCAAATAACTGCCTCATCCTCAGAACTGCATTATCATGGGGTGTCTGCACCCTACACCATTGGAGAAATTACACTGCTTAGCCGGTATTGCACCACCTGACATCCGGAAGTAGCAGCCAATAGTGAAAGGACCAAGGCAGAGACATCTCCAGCTCATCCCTTGTTTGGGTATCAGCCAGCACGTCAACGACTTAAATAAAGAAATAGTTTTCTTAGATCTACAGAGACACTCGCTGGAACCTAAGGGTGGGTGACCGGGACAGAATAGGGATTCTGTTAGTGTACCGTCCACCTCGCTGCACTACAGTATCCCTACCTGAGCTAGCGGGGGTAGTCTCGAGCCTGGCGTTGGAGTCTCAACGGCTTTTGGTGCTGGGAGACTTCAATATCCATGCCGAGGCGACCCTCACAGGAGCGGCTCAGGACTTCATGTCTGCCATGGCAACCATGGGGCTGTCCCAACAAATATCTGGCCCCACCCACTGTGCTGGACACACATTGGACTTGGTTTTCTGTCAGGGATGGGAGCAGGGTGGCGGTGTGGAGGAGTTGTCTATCTCTCCGTTGCCATGGACCGACCACTTCCTGATCAGATTTAGGCTCACTGCACCCCCTAACCTCCGCAGAGGTGGAGGACCCACTAAGATGGTCCGCCCCAGGAGGCTTATGGATCCGAATGGATTCCTGACGGCTCTTGGGGATTTTCCCGCCTCCTCGGTAGGTGACCATGTCGAGGCCTTGGTCGCTCTCTGGAATGGGGAG